CTCATGAGTAGGTCAGAAGGGCTGTAGCTTCTGTGGTGCCAGAGGAGAGGATTGACACCTCTGAATGGGTTGTGACTATCCTGCTGCAGTTGATAAAGCAAAGTGCCTCCTTCTTAGAGGTGTGAGGTTTGCAACCGGAGCTTTGTTCGGCCCTGAGGTGGGAAGTTGCTTTGTCTTCTTCCCAACACACACACTGAGGTTTTCCCCCTGCTTGTTTATGTGAATAATAATGACCCAACCTGAGGGGTGAAATGACTGAAATGATTTCTCTCCCTTTCTCTTTGCAGAACTGAAGACTATATGAAGTTGTCCCTAGCCTCCTCCTAAAGGCATCCCTTGGCATCTTTAAAGGCTTGAAATACCAAAACCAACCAAACACACCCATAAGAGAAATCCATAAACCCTCAAAACTTGGGATCCCCTCTTGGTCCGAAGTTGAGTTCTTCAAAAACTTCTGTGCTGTCAAGCTTGAGGAGATCCTGTTGTGTGGCTCCAGGGACTGGGGCTGGGCCCAAGCAGTGACTTGAGTTGTGTTTAGGGGACAGGGATGAAGCTTCTTCCCTGTCCCCAAAACAGAACCCATATTGGACACTAAATATGCAGCGAGTCTATTAGTTGTGTTCATTACTACTTATTAGGCCTGCTATGAAATCTCTGCTGTTCTTTTCTTAGGGGGGTGAACCATAGCTCTTCTCCCAGACCAAGCCTGGACCTTATTTCAGATGATGAAGTTGTTTCTTCCTGGGGCCAAACTCCTCTTTCTTGCTGGGGAGGTGGGAACTGCCTGTGATTTGTTGTACAGTGCTGCTTTATTCCAAGGGCTGGAGGGACAAGTGGGGTCCAAGCAAGGGATGGCAGATGGTAGCTGGACTGACTCAAATCTTGCTTCTGGAGTTATTTTAGCTGAGAGCTGATTCTGTAGGCAGACAGAAGACTCAAGAAGTGACAAAGATTGATAGTTTAGCTGTTCTGCTTGTGGTGCAGGTTTAGGAGACCACACTTAGGCTGCTGCTAACATCTGGATTCACACTTTTCCTTCCTTCATTTCCCAAGAGGAGAGACCTGAGGGGGTAGCTACAGAAACAGGAGTTCCCTTGGCTCCAGATGAGATAGTGGGGGTCCTGGAAGAGACACCTTCCCCATTCCCTTGCCTGCTTGCTGCTCCTGTGCCCTCTTCTCTTGCTAGCTTTGTGGCTTGCCCACTGGAGCCAGAGCTCAGCATTGCTCCTCTGCTCTGCCACACGTAGAAGATGAATTTGGCCGGGCATGTGTAACAGCTTCAGGCATTGCAGGTTCCAAATCAAACCCAGCTGGTTTGTGAGGGTGAGACGAGGGTCTGAGTCCTCTCTAGTGATGCTGTAAAACACCAGGCTGGGGGGGAGCATGTGTCCTTCAACGTTTCTCTTTCACTGCCAGACAGCTGCCTCTTGGCTAACGCTGCAAACATATCACAAACCCAAGAAGCTGCTTTTGTGTTTTCCTTTTCAATTCCTATGCAGACAATACTTGAAACCTTGTACACAGTTGTCCTTTCCAGCGCCTGGGGTTGGCACACTCTTCATAAAAGGGCTCATTTAAAGAACAGCAGGAGGCTTCAGCTTTAGAAGAGACTGCTCCTTCCCAGCCAACAACTGCAAGCGTGTCCAGGGCTTTGCATATGAATTTAGGCACATCTGGACCCCTCTGCTTCACCACCCTGCTGGTCCAGCCGCTGTCTCCCCTTGGTGCTGGCTGACTCTGTGTCCTGAGCACCCAACTATGCAAAGAATGCCTTATATACATTGTGTTGAAGTTACGTGGCAATATGTACATCGAGCAAAGTCTATAGTTGAGTCCAGAGTTTTGCTAGTGGCAGCGAGCCAGACTGTTTCCTCAACTCCAAAGGCCGTCTGGGTGTTTTTTACTTGTGTTCATTTTGTTTGTTTCGTATCTGATGGTGGCTCTTACACAAAGGACTGTCATTCTAGTGGCTTGAATCTGTAAAAAATTGCCTTTGTTTGGTCCAATAAACCTTTGAATAGTTTCTTTGCTCTGTGCTTGTTCTCCCTGCCTCCAGCAGCTTATAACGTCTTTCTCAAGAGAGCTGTATTCAAAATGTGACTTTTAGGGGAGAGGTACATTCTGCCCTCCTGTGCCTTTTACCCCATAAATGATTCCATTGGCTTCCTCAACAGTAGACTCAGCCCAGTGCCAAAAGTCAGGGATCTTCCCTTATTTCTGCTGCATTCCTGGGCATGTTTGGCCGCAGAGGAATGAGCAACATTCCCAATGCAGAGCCCTGCCCTGGATTTCAGCTGCCATCATCACAAGTGCCTGAAACAGAGATCTCCTGTCACATACCTATGGATCCCTGCCCCAAACCTCCAGCTAATGGTAAAAGTCTTGGACTGAAATGCTGAAGAAGAGCCTAAGGCAGTTCAGTGTCCAAATTCAAGAGCCTAGGAAGGAGAATCAGGCTGCTTTGAAAGCCTTAACTAATCTACTTCGTCAGCAATAAGTGAAATCCCGTTTGACCAAATAGTTTTGAGGACAGGACTTACGGGAAGAGAGAATGATTTCACTTGTGAATGGGGTAGGTTTGATCTCACATCATCAAACAAACCCCCAGCCTGGAGCACTGCTTGGTTTCAAAGTTGCCTTTGAGAGGAGAAGCTCCTTCTTGCAATCAGTTTTATGGGTTCGATGCCTTAATCTTCCTTCCCAGGCTTGTTTCTCTCTTTATCTTTGTTTTGCTCTCCCTTTGTTGTAGGTTATGTAGCACAAAGGAGTAACAGCTCTTCTTTATTTCTGTTTTTCAAATGCACAGGCATATTTAAAGTTATGGGGAGAGCCAAAATGTATTGAATAAACAGAGTGAATATTGTCCCTCATCTAGATTCTGGAGGTTTGGAGGTGAGGAAACAGGCCCTTGGGAAGGTTGTAATGTCTGTGATGCAACAAGCAAGGGATGCAGACCTGAGTGGAGCACTCCCAGCTGGCAATGCATTTCAGCCACAGGAGGCAAACTGTGTATTGGATTTCTCCACCCCAGACTGGAAACGTGCCCTCTGGTGCCTCTACAATAAAATATTGATCGCTAACAACTCTGCTTCCCTCCCTCTCGTCTGGAAAGGGCAGCTGGAAGCTATCCATGCCAGCACAAAACATTACAGAAAAGACAGACAAATCCAGGCTCTTGCCAGCCTGTGACCAGAGCTTTCATAACCAGAGGCTCCCACAGCATTAGCAGGGTATGTCTGGCCTTAGGACAATTGCATTCTAATTGCAATAGAAAAGAACTGGCAAATGAGCTTTCTTTTGCCAGAATCTGCTCTTTCCCTGCTGTGATGGTGCTGGGGGACAGCCTGCTGTTCCTGCTGCTGCTGGGGCTTAGCTCAGGAGAGGGGAAAATGCAGAGCCCCCCTCAGCAGGAGCTCAGTGCCCAAAGGCACCTCTGCCCCTGACTGTCTCCCTCCATTGATCTTGTTCGTGGTGTGGTTGCTTCTGATGTGTTGACACTGCTCTCTCTTCTTCTGAGCAAAGACTGCACCCTGGGTTTGCCTGCCAATAGGTATTTCTACCCTTCCTGTTACTAGAACTGCTTGTCCATATGGGAATTGCAGGAAGACTCCCCCAGGTTAACTAATGGTGTGCATTTAAATGGGTTAATTACAGTGTATTAAAATCCTATGCCAAAAGCTGGCTGTGATGGGGAATGAGGACTCTTGGAAGGGTGACCATGTGGAAGTAAAAGCCAGAGTCTCTTTTTCTAGCCCACGGGATGTGTAAAAGTGTTAAACAAGCAGGAGGAGCTGGTATTGCAGCAGATTTGTGCTCTGAGCTGCTGAGCTATCCCTGAATTCTGGCCCCACAGTCACGTAGAGGCAAAATGAGCCTTGAAGTAACAGAAACTGTTTTCCCCTTGTTAAAGCCATAAAGCACCACAGCCTCATTAGTTCTTTTAATCTCACACAGGAGAGTCAGATAGGAGATGTGCTAAGCGATACTGCAGTCTCCTCCCTGGCAGTAAGAACAGCCAGCCCGGACTGGAGCCAGGGTGTGCATTCATCTTGCCCTAAAAAAGGATTTTGTAGCTCATTTCATTAGTTCATGAGCTACTTGCAAACAAATGACACTCCTGTGCTGCCCACCCTTCTGTACCCCTGACTCACGGTCAGTAGATGTGTGATCAATGCATCTATAAAGCTTCCTCTAATAAAGCCCTGTGGCAGACACCAATCTTCATGCTGCAGCACACGCAGCAATGCTTAACTGCTTCAGGTTAGGGAAAAGTCAGCATATCCTCTGTTATGGGGAGAAGGGTGGTGGTCATCTCCTGTGGGACTTGCTAGGGATGGAAATCTGAGCTGGGTGCTCCACTGCCCTGCCTCTGCCCATGCAGGGATGTCCTCATTGTTGGTATGGCTACGAATCCCTCTCACCATCTGACATTGGCAAATGAAGCCAATCAAAGCCAATTTATCTCTGTGATCATATCCTCCAGTGGCTGATTAAAGCCATGGACACACTGGGACTAATCTGGTTTCTAGTTTTAAGGCAGGGTATGCGTTTCAAGTGTAACAGCTGTTCCTGAATTACTCTGTGTCTAGGTACTGTCATGAGAGGACATTGTGCTAGTGAAGCTCCATCCAGTTTCAATATGGAGTCTGCTAAATTGAGACGTGTTGGTCTTAGGAAATTCCATGTGTCAAGTTATCTTGAAACTCTGAGCACAGATAAACCCTAAGGAACTCCAAAGCTAGTGTTAGAGCACTCTGGTTTACCTCCGTATTTAGAGAACTGCAGAGAGACATGCAGGATGATTAGATAAATGGGAAGGGGGAGGAAGGAGAACCAGAGGCTGTCTCTTTCTTATCTCACATGGGCAGATTTCCTGCAGCCACTAAGGCTTGTAAAATGACCTGTGTTTGGCTTTGTGTTTCATTTGACCAGGGTGTTCTTGCTCAAAGTGCCTTCTTCTGGGGCCTGGCTATTCCTACTTCTCCTTTTCTTCTTGACAGGGTGCAGAGAGAGCAGCTGGCTGCCATCTTCAGGCTCATGAAGGAAAAAAGTGACACGTTTGGAGAGATGTCTGAAGGAGACATGAAGGAGCAGCTTAGACTCTATGATATATAACCTTGCAGCTAGAAAGTCATCATGTCCCTTATTATGCAGGACACTGGAGGCTGTAGTTCTAGAAACATGTTTCAGTAGTTATTTTGCAGTTCCAGTTTGTTTTGCAAACCCATATAGGCCCGTGAGATGTATTGCAAAAGACTTGTAATTTCTCACCCTTTATATTGTTTCTCCTTGAAGAGCTATCATATTTTCATCTCATATAGAGATTGGTACCTCCTTCTAGCTGTGTCATACATCTCAGTCCCACAGAGCAGTTAAACCCACAACATCTTCTGGCCATGCTGTATAAACATGACCTTTCCAACCTAGTTTTTATCAGTTTGATACCTAAAGAAAGCCAAAGATAATAGACATAAAATGGATGAATATAATAGAATCGTAGCATAACTCAGGCTGGAAGGGACCTGAGGAGGTCTGTAGTCAAACCTCAAAGCAACATCTGCTGTAAGACCAAGCCAGGTTACTCAGGGCTTTATCCTGTTGCATCTTGAAAACCTCCAAAGATGGAGACTGCACAGCCTCTTGGCAGAGTCTTCCAATCCTACATTTAGAAAGCAAATAGCCAAAGGCACAGCAATCCTGCTTGTGTTAGAGGTGAGTTGCTGTTCTCGTCTCCTTGGAAGGAGCACTTCATCCTCCTTCACCCTGCTTTTTGGAAACAAGCACACGTTGATTCCAGCTGACCTCATTGAGCTTGCCTTGGGAAGCCACAGCTAACTTCAACCTGGAAACACAAACGTCTCTTTGCCTCTCAACACTGGTAAGGGTAGTACAGAAAGGTGGCTTCTTTACAAGGATGATTGTGTCCAACTCAGATCCTGTCCTCCCAACAGAAAAACGATGTGGGAAGCTAAGGGAATCTCTGTGAACTGAGGAAGTATTTTGAAGCAGCTGCTGGTGGTTTGGGTAAAGTAAATCAATGAGCATTCTGAATTTTAACTGAATGTCTTCTGGTGGACTTGGCTCTCCTACCAAATCCTGTTAAACACTGCATTATCAGGAAGGATTTTCTCAGTTTTAATAACTACTGACAGAGGGAGGCAATGGCTTCTGAGCCAGTTTTAGGGAATGATCTCTTTCAAGATTAGTTTTGCTTTGTTTTGTGTAATCCTTTAGAGTCTGGGAAACCTATTAGCTCATTATCTGGTCGCTGTTTCCCACTACAGTATAACACCATAGTATTTGACTTCAAAGAATCACTTTATCTTCCAATTGTTCTTGCTTAGGTGAAGGCACATTTATTACAAGATCAACCTGGTTTTGCTACCAGTTATGACTTAAATCTAAACATAATATCAGAAAATTACCTCTTCTTGTCCAACATGAAGGAATTAAGCAGGAAAGGAGTCTCACACCATGCTGGCGTGCAGTGTCCCTGGGACATAACCTCTTTTGTCAAGCTGTGCAAAGGGAGGAATGTAGAGAATTTGCATATGGGACCTCTCCCTAGTTCAAAACTGAAAGCAGGATCTTTCCCAAAGCTGCTCTTGAAAGCAAGCAAAGGAGCATTACGGTTGAGTTGACTTATAGTCTTCGTCTTGTAGCCTTTATGGTTTATTTCAAGCATACTTTTAGAGTTCTTCTTTTACATCTGGGCCTTCTCTGAACAGGAACGTTTCTGGAAAATAAAAAGACCCCTCAAACTCCTCAGCATCACATTATATATAAAGCAGAGTGGTTGGCATTAAACCTGTCCAACCCCGAGCAGTGCCACCAAAATAAGATGCTGTCGATGACGGGACAAAGGTAGAAGATCTGTCATTTACTAGTGAAGCACGGAACCAGCTCTGCAATACAACTCAGAGTTATAAAGCAGGGATGTTTATTAAGGCGCCGGGTGCAAGGGGGATCGCTCCTCCTAACTTGCACGCCGAGGGGTTTATTACACACAAACGTACATATACATTAGGCTCCCGAGAGAGCGGAGGGGATATTACAGTTAGGTTAGGTACTCGTTATCATCGGTCTCCTCCCTTTTGTCGCTTGCGCACTGCCCTCCGGTGGTCGTGGGCAGGGGTCTGCAAGATGCAGTAAGCACTCTTCCTCCGGGTGCGCTTTTCACCTTTGGCACAGTTGGCTGCCCCAGTAATCGCAAAACTCGCTGAGACCAACCGCATCTGCAAGTTTGTGACAGCCGGCAAAGAGTTAGAACAGTGCGACCTTGGTACAAAATCTATTGCAAGCAGAACAGGACGGGCAGACAAGGAATATCCGAAGCTAGCCGGTGTTCGGGAGCCATTGTCTCCAAACTAACTGATCGTTACGATGGTCACTCATTAGAAGGATGGAAAGAAATAATTCACTCTTGTTAGTAAGACTACTAAATTGTTACCACATCACAGACTTACAACACAAACATTGTTTTCTTAGACCTAAGTTAAGTTAAAAGTATCTTAAGCCTATGTTTTCCAGGCACTTGCTTTCCTTACATCACTAGGTCCGGTCAAAGAAATGAAACCCCTTCCCAAGACACGGGACAAAGGGATGTCTGGATGTAAACCCCGGCGTTTTAAAGGTGCGTTTCCTCTGCGTGCAGCCGCAGGTCGGTGCTGAAGAGGAGCCCGCGGGGTGCCGGTGCGGAGCTGCTGCTGGGCCGGGATACATCAGTTCAGTTTCCTTTTCCCTCGGGGCTCATAAATATTTATACGGGAAATTCCACCCCTTGCTCCAGCAGGATCTCCCCTCCGGGTGTTGTGCTTTAATTAACGCTGGCCTCCCGCGGGGTGCAGAAGCGAATGTACTAACACACCCCCAGAGCGGGAGGGGGGGAACACACTGTGAGGGCCATGGGCGAGACCTTTCCCTCCTTGGACAACATTTGGGGCCACAAACACGGGGGGGGAGGATCCCGAATCATCCTCCCATGGCTTCCCATAGCGATTCGCACCTCCTGTGTGCTGCGGCGGGGCCCTGCGGCTGCGAGGCCACGGCAGCGCCTGGGCCAGGCCCTGCGATGGAGCCGCTGCCATGGCAACCGGCGCTGGCCGCGATTGGACACTCGCGTCCACGTTAGGCACCCGTAAACAACGCGGAACAGGGTGGTTTGTTCCCATTCGGCCGCCGTAGCCCGCGGAGGGGGGGCTGGTGGATGGGGGGGGCTTCAGCGCAGCCGGGTGGGCCCTGCGCATGCGCACTGTGTGCGGCCTGAGCTGCGTGAGGCGGGGCCTCACCTCGCATAAGGTGGCGGCGGCAGCCGTGGGTTGAACCGCCTGAGCTGTGGTAGTTTTTAGCTTCCCTCACAGCTACTGAAGTGAGGACATTGGTTTCAGTGGGTTCGGAGTGAGTGCAGTGAGATGAGGTGACCGTGGGTTCTTTAGTAAAGCCGTGCTCGGGGGTGGGCACCCCGGGAGATGGGTCTTCTGCCCCTCCAAAAGTGCCCAAAGCCACATGGAGTGTGTGCCGCTGCCCTCAGTGCCGTGCTTGGCACGAACGGGTCACCCTCCGTCTTTGTCAAGGTATTTTGCAGTCACGTTATCTCTGGTGCTCTTATTTACGTGTTCTGACACCCCACAAGCGTGCTTCAGTGTGACTATAGTCACACAATCACTCTTGAGCCTGCAGGTGAGCAACAGACGCTTTTGTCTTCATCTGGTCTTGGGCTCTTGAGAGTAAGAGCATTTTGTTCTGCATCCTCTCTGTTCCTGGATGTGTTTCTCTTTTCTCATTTGAGCTCGGGCTGTCGCTGAGCACCAGAGATCCAAGTCTAAGGAAAACCTGGAATAGTTAACTTGAGCTTTAGTAGTGGAGGGGGTGATGGCTGCGGAAGGAAAGTGACCACTGCCCCTTGAAGGAAATGGGAATAAGTGGAGATGGGAAAGAGCGTGGCCCCATACCTTTCACAAACTCGCTGCTTTTTGCATCTACAAGGTTATTTTCCATCTTGTGTTGCCTTCTGTGCTGCTTGGGGGAGCTATGGGGTTGTTTGGTTTGGTTTTTTTTCCAAACTATGTCAAATATTTTGGATAAATTCCTCGGGGACATTTCTGAGAATGAATCAAAGACAAAACTCCTTAATAATACCCACCAGAAGAGAACACATAGGAGTTTCTAGGCCAGCTTTGGGGCTATCATAACACTAAACCCCCTGCTCCTTCCTGTCCCTCCCTCATGTCTTTAAATCACTGTATCCAGGCTACATGCATTTGATAGGGAATTAAATCCCCAGTCTTTCAGTTTATAATAGATTTGGTTTATTCCCATGAGAGGGGGGCAAGCCAAGTTCAAACCCCATGTTGTAGATAGCAGTCTGGTTTAGATGATAGCTTCCTGTGGGGAGTGCAGTAACTGGTTCTGAAAGTAGTGATAAGCAGATGCTGTAGGGAATTTATGTAGTGAATGTGTGGCAAAAGCATCTCCTGCTTTAAGAAGGCATCACCTTGATTACCATGCACACTTCTGATGGTGAATCACCTTTTGATACACATAAGGACTGTATAAAGGCCACAGAGAGAAATCTTCCTAAAGCCCTTTTCTAACCTGCACTTCTCTGGCAGTTGTGACCAACATAAGAGATTCAGAGCAGCCCTGCGGAGAAGGACTTGGGGGTGTTGGTCGATGAGAAACTGAACATGAGCCAGCTTCAGTGTGCATTTGCAGGCCAGAAAACAACCGTATCCTGGGCTGTATCAAAAGGAGCATGACCAGCAGGGCGAAGGAGGTGATCCTGCCCCTTTATTCTGCTCTCGTGAGACCTCACTTGGAGTATTGTGTGCAGTTCTGGTGTCCTCAACATAAAAAGGACATGGAACTGTTGGAACAAGTCCAGAGGAGGCCACAAGGATGGTCAGGGGCTGGAGCACCTCCTGTATGGAGACAGGCTGAGATAGTTGGGGCTGTTCAGCCTGGAGAAGAGAAGCTGCGTGGAGACCTCAGAGCAGCTTCCTCTGAAGGGAGCTACAAGGATGCTGGGGAGGGACTCTTCATTAGGGATTGGAGTGACAGGACAAGGGGTAATGGGTTAAAACTTAAAACACGGGAAGTTTAGATTGGGTATAAGGAAGGAGCTCTTTACTGTGAGGGTGGTGAGGCACTGGAATGGGTTGTCTAGGGAAGCTGTGAATGCTCCATCCCTGGTGGTGTTCAGGGCCAGGTTGGACAGAGCCCTGGGTGATATGGTTTAGTGTGAGGTGTCCCTGCCCGTGGCAGGGGGGTTGGAACTTGATTTTAAGGTCTTTTCCAACCCTAACTATTCTATGATTCTATAAGCTCAGTGCTGGAGGAAGCTGGGCAGTGGTGTCTGTCACCTCCTGTTTGTGGCAAGTTAGTGGTAGTTTGGTTTATTCCTTCTCCATAATAAGATGACTGAAGCGTCTTTCACAAAGGTGAGGTTTTACAGGGATTTTGACATGTTCCAGGAGTGTCTTGTGAGTCCTCTCTAAATGTCAAGGGAAGCAGGAGAGATTCTGATCTATGTGTTCAGACTGAGTTTCAAAATGACAGAATCACAGAATAGTTTGGGTTAGAAAGGGCCTTAAGATCATCCAGTTCCAAACCCCTGCCACGAAAGCAGCACTAGATGGTAAGAATTCCTGAAGATAAGCTCAGGCAGTGGGATGGAGTGCTGGTCCTGTGGATTTGAGTAAGATTTTTTGGTAAGATGGGAACAGAGCAAAACATGGAATTCCTTGTGATTATTTTTCCTTTAAGCTTTGAATAGATCTATTGTGCATCAACCACATGTGATCACTGGAGCCCAGCCAACAGCTCTGGAATAGCTGTGGGACACTCCCTTCTGGAAAGGGGGGAAATGTGTCTGAAATGCTTTCTTAACTCCCAAAGTAGGTCAGGAATGCAGTCATTGGGATGCGTATGGGTAGTGAGTGAGTCACGGTGTGGTAAGCTCTTGGGAATGCTGTGTACCACTGGCATTTGTTAACTGCTCCATGGCACTGGGAACAATAAACCAACAAAGAGGAGGTATTACACGGTTTGGTTCATCT